GGTACAGCCTAAAAATGAGTTATGATGATTTCATCCCGAAAACTAAACGAATCGGAAACAAAAAACGCCTGTTAAAAAGAAGAGAAAATGCTGCATCGAATAGTGCGCGAGCTGCTCTTCTGTTGATGTTCTACGAGGATTTAGCTGTGCAAGTATCGAAATTGGTAGCATCAGTTAAAATTCTGTTAAAAATGTATGACAAGCTATGGAAAGGAGAAAAAGTAGTTTTGCATTCTGTAGGGTTTGCTTTATACAGACCTTACTTGGACTTTTTCGGAGGGTTGATATAAAAGTTTTAAAAAATCGTGAAGCTTGACCGTCTCAAAAAGCATGGGTCGCAGATTTTGATTGTTTTCTGAAAGCTCATTGACTTTGCAACAATTTCATAACCTTCAGAAAGAGAATGAAATTCTGCATCGAATGCTTCCAAGATCTCTCAAAAATCTTTGTTCCATCAAATGTGGCGCCCGTTTGGAAAAAGCGAAATTATTTTTGAAACGACCTAATAATATTGATCAACCTTGCCCAAATGATTCAACGTTGAACGAACGAACGCTGAACGCTGATTACAAATTTGCTTTCCTTATCTGCGAAGTGCTTCTGGGAGGAAGTTTTGAGAATTTCTTGAAGCAAAAATTCGACGCGCGGCTACCATAAAATCATTCAAAGTGCAGTCTGTGAGCCCGAATGGGGCTATGATCACTACCAGGGCATTTTATGCAATACTACCTTCAAACTAATAAGCGCTTGTCTGTGTTTACTCCTTTCAAGCGCCGAAAAGATTTCAACACCTGTTTTTTACCTTAACCAATCCATTGAAATTCCACCAAAAAAAAATTCCAGAACTCCTTTCCCAGAATCGCTTTGCAGATAAGGAAAGCAAAATTGTCAGAGCTCCATGCTCTATAAGACAGTATACACTTCATACACAAACCCCACTTCGACCTAGTATCCTTCCCTTGTAAGTCATTCTGAAAGTAATTGAATTTTTTGAAATAAACTAGCTTAAAGCAAAAATTTTCGTTCAATTGGTTATGTTCACATAGCAGAAAACGAGCTTTGAAAAATTACCAAAATGAAGCATGGTTTCTGCAAAATTGAGCTTCGCTGTATTTCTATCATCCCCATAGGAGTCTTGTCATAAATTGAGCGTTTTCCCAATTAATCGAGAAGTTGCGCACATTTTTCCGTTCTTCAGCTTTGAGGGATTTTTCGGAATTATTCTCAATTGTTGACAATTTGTAATGGATGACTAGTAGGTACCTGCGCTTCGCCTTTGAATTTATTAGTTTTTTAAGGCCTCAAGAAAATTGTTTTCTGCTTTTAACAAGTTGGCTTTTTTACACTTTTCTGTTTTAAGACTACGGATGCGACCATGGGCTGACTTTTTTCTGAACCAGGGTTTCATAAAATTTTTTTCAAAAATTAAAAAGTCTGAAACAGAAACGCTGAAGAAATGAACACATACTGTGTATTGAATCATGACAAACTTTGTGAATTTTTCAAAAATCTCGAGCTAGACGTGATAGCGTAGCCAGCGCCCTAGCAGAGCTTCTGATTTTTTTTAACAATAAAGATTAGTCTCTTAAAAATTAGCTATAACAAGTTTACGAGCATTTGTGCTGAAAGAAGCTCGACGCCAGCTTCTTATGTTCCTGAGTGTTTAAAAAACATGGAGACAAGTACTGAAAAAGTTAAGATGGAATTTAGAGGGTCAGCTTATCTCAAAAGGCGCTTGAGGAAGCAGAAAGCATTTAGTGAGCACTTTGTTGAGAGAGCTTTTTGGAAGAAATGCGGTTTTGCTGAGTAGCCTTTTGAGAATAAGGGAGGGGAAGTGAGGGGAGAGGGATGGGAGGGGGGAGAAACTCCACGCAACTCTTTATTTTTTTCGAGGATTTGGCTCGTCAAAAACCATTCTTCTAATTCATGCCAAGTTCCGCCGTTTCAAACACTACGACCTAACATTTTTCAAAAGCAAGCACTATAATAATAAATTTACACATCTTTCCCTACGACGGCTACATATGTCGTCTCACGACTTTGATAAGCGAAATCGTCACGGTGCTAAAGGTTGTATTCATACGCTATGAGCCACATGATTTGCTGGTTCTCCACGTTTCTAATGATAATAAATTGTTACCAGCCGCTGACAAGTTTTTCATTTGGGAGGTATGGTCGGCTCCCAGATTCGTGGAGGAGGGGGGGGGCAAGTGTTTTTCTGATTGTAAAGATAAACTTGTCAAACCTCCACGTTATAGCAATGTTCTTCGTATGCTCTCGCTATTAAAAATGGTCACGCAGTGTTTTCAAGATTCCACTACCTCCACACAAATAGCTAATGATGGTCGAGGAAAACAGCAAAACATTGACCGTTTGAAGCAGGGCGGTGGGGAGGGGGAGGGGGGGGGGCAACGAGAACAGCGGGATGTTGAAATACGAGAGAAGAGATGATGGAGAGAAAAACACCACGTTCTTGTTGGATCTAAAATCGGAATGACTACGACTTCTTTTGAATACAAATTACAGGAATGAAAATACAAGAACGATCGTGTTTTGATTACAGTTGCAGCGGTAAGATTTGTCCAAAATTGCGGAGTTGTCGTTCGCGGGATTGTCGGGATTCGCGGGATTCGCAGGATTCGCGATTTCACGGGGTTTGCGGAATTCGCGGGATTTGCGGGATTCGCGGGATTTGCGGGATAAGCGGGACTTAGCTATAACTTCTTTTAAAACAATTTATGTAAAATCTGCAAGAAGATACGGCTTCAGCTTGATGTGACGAATCTTTTGATATACAGGATGTCCCAAAAGTCTTGTAGCCTAATTTTGCACTGCTTCAACTCAACAATCACTGGTGATTTTGATCTCAAATTTATACCAAAGAATCCTCCAATCATTCTTCGTAAAATACATTCTTGGGGGTAAAAAATGATCTTTATGTTTGACTGAAAAAAATAAAATTATTAAACCATTTCTACCTCAAAACGCAAACAGCTATTTCCTAAAAGTTTGAAATTTATTCCGCTACTGCAAAAATTTGGCACACCGCGGTGCAAATTTATATCCACAATATAGAGGAGGCTTTGCACTTCTGTCACTATAATGGCTGCATTTAAAAATCTATTTCGTCAAGAGAGGCGAGAAAATATTTGGAAAATTCTAATGCGAGTCACTGCAACTATGTCTTTGATTAGTTTCAAATCTGTAGAATTGCAGCAATCACTGAATTTGGAGAAATATCCTCTTCGCATGATGGGAATCTAATGCAACACGGATGACGAACTTGGTTTTGAAACACATTGTAACGATTTTCTGTTTTCATTTTCCGCAAACGTGTCCAAAACTCCACCATAAGATCTACACGTGCCTGCATTCGAATTTCCGTAATTTTAACCAAGAAACTCACAAATTTTTTTACATGCTATGGTATAGCTGAAAGCTTGCTCTATCATACAGAGCATATTCTAAGCGATAGGATTTATCTTCATGAAAAGTTGGGACAAAATGATGATGACTGCCTGCGTGCCTCGGCAGTGGTAATCGCCAACAGTTTGAAGGCTTCCGTTATCAAGGAAAGATGCTACCACGAAATTCGAATGCTGTGATGTATTTGCTACTTTTTATTATATGTGCACCAAATTTTATATCCCTATGTTGTTCGGTTCTGTTTTTATCAGAAAAAATACTAGGCTACGAGATCTCATTATCGAAAACTATCGCGAAAAACTGGGCAGTTTTTATTCACCCTTACGTGAGGTCGATTCCCACCATCTTCCATGTAGGTGCAGACTTTAGCCCAGGCTTCGGCGTGAAGCGAGTTGAAGCAAAAATGCCATTTTAGGTAAGAATTGGCAGCAGTGGCATGTGCCGATGAGAAATCGATCGATTGCTGCAGCGAGGGATTTACCAGTTGCACCGAGCAATAGAACTACAAAAGCCTGTAGATCACTTATAATTAGAAAAAGAGCGATAGAAATTCACTCAGCGTTTCCTACAGTACTTTTCGTACCATATGCCAAAAATGATCTAAAAATTTGATATTATTAATGATAAATGATAAAATGCTTAAATCAGTAGTAAGGGTAAATAAAAACTGCCCAATCTTTCGCGATAGTTTTCGATAATGAGAGCCAGGGCCCGGCACGAGCTTGTCAAAAGGAGTTTTCGAAAACGAATTCCCCTTTGACCCAAAATTTTTTTACGAATTCCCCTTTGACCCAAAAATTGATCCCAGTGATTCTACAGTGAACACTTTACCCGAGGAAGAACATTTATTGAAGAAAACACCAAAAACAATGCAATAACAAAGAGAAAAAAGAGATCAGATCAGAGATCTCGAGTGATATCAATGACAATTGCACCGGTAGCTGGGGGGGGGGGGGGGAATTCGTACTTCATATGCTCACAATTTCTGAAACCTCTCACCCTCAAGTACTCGAGTTCCACACATACTCCTCACTTCCCGTCTTCTCATCTCTTAGGTACTCTGCTAATCCTACAAACATACCCCTAACGCTCCACTCAATCATCCTCAGCCTCAAGTAATCTACACCCTCAGTACCTTTCACACTCACCCTCATCCTCAAATACTCCACTCCCACATCCACTCTTGAATTCCACTCCTCTCACTCACTCACCTTCCCCCCTCAAAAAATCAGCAAGCTAGTGCTTGCGCTTTGATTTTTTGGACCTCAAGAACACTCGAGTGCCAGTTTTGGCTTTGTGCCGAGTGGCACACTCTAATAAGCCAGAACACTTTGTTAGGCATTTTGAGGCTCTCACAACGCTGAATTGGCCTTCTGAGATGATGACCTATACACAAATCGCGCTTGTTGACCGTCTCCTATTTTAGGGTACTTTATTTGTGCTGTAAGGTACCCTTTGATTCAACTGGCCTTGCGGCTGAAAGGCGATCCCCGATCTAGAAAAAAGATGTGCTATTCGGAGAAGAGTTATTTTTTCTATCTTTTATCTTGATAGAGGAAGTACGAAGAGTTACTTCACATTGCAGCAGCTGCAGCGCGGTGGCATCGGCAACGTCTGCCTGAAGGACCGAACAACAAAAAAGAATCGAAGTGAAACACTGATCAAATCAAGCATCAACATCGAAACAAAAAAAGTCTCTTCTTCAACTCACTTTTTTTGAAAACCCTGTTGAGTAATGCTAGGTCAGCATCGCTGATACTGTCGTCTTTGAACTGCATAGCAGGATTGACATACCATTCTCGACCAGCCGATGCTCCGTAGGCATAGTAGCCTGAATACCAAGGAAGTAGCGGGAAGTATCAAAACAAAAACCCATCTTACACACAAAGCACGCATCCTCTGGCATTGTGCTCATGTTGCGAATTCCTTGTAAACGAGTGAAGCTGTGGTGACGATAGCACAGAACTGAGCACATTGGCGAGCAAACTGTGCCTAAATCGGGTATCTTAGGAATGACAAGCGATTTGGCGCTCAGCTTCAAGGGGTGCAAAACCGTAAAAATGCGATGAACAGAGAGCAAGCAGAAGCAGATCAGGAATGTTCACGAAATATATCAAACCTGGATAACTTCAGAATACGCCGGTCGAACGCTGGTCGGGTACGAACACGAATAGCTCTTCAAAGTACCATCTGCAAAGAAGAATGAAGAAAGAAGGGAGAGAAACTGAGCTGCTCTGATGATTTACTGTCGGTGAAAACTGCGCGAGTAGAATTTAGTGCATAGGGGAAAAATTCGTGCGAGAAAAAACACATATACCACAACATCTACTTGCCCATTCCGAGATGCGATAACGAGAGGAATTTTGTCGCCCTCCGTGCTATTCAAACGACTATCCAGCCAAGGCTTCGACGTGCGTCCATCCAAAAATACCTAGGAATAATCCATACGTGTTTTCAAAAATCAAAGATAGCATTGAGCAAATTTGAGAAAACACTCGTCATGCATACAAATCATGACTGACTAAAGCGACATATGCTCTGGTAAACGCATGGAGAACTAACTCCTAGATAAAACTGCCGTAAAACGATATTAAGGCATATCAGCAGGTTTGAAAACAGAAACATCAACGACGCCGCACCAAGCGACGATTAAAGGACTCAGCGATATGCCGTTCGATCGCAGCGCGCTTTCCTCCTTAGGGCTATTTTTGCCTCTAGCAAGGAGGAGAGGGGGAGGTTTGAAACCAAATTTTCACTATGTACTAATCTTTAGGTGTAGAGTAGATTTATGTAAATATTTTGGAAAAATTATGTGAATTGAGAGTTTTGCCAAGCTCAGCTTGTCATTAGCTTGTCAAATGACAAGCTAATTTGAAAATAAGTTGGGGAAACTCTTCATTCACATAAGTTTTTCATAATTTTTCATACTTTGTTACTTAGTCCTACTGCGCATATACACACCGAATCCCGCGCAATTTCGTCGCCTCTGCGTTGCAAACGAGCCATTTTTCCATTTCTTTGGTAGCGGGAAATTTTCAGAAAAACCATTGCCACAACCTTCAGTCACATAATTTTTCAATGAAACTCCTAAGTTAGCTCCTACAGGTTTGTGTCCACGTGCGTACCAAGTTTCATACCATATCGTCATCTGCGCGTTGCAAACGAGCCATTTGAATTTACAACTTCATTTACCAATTTTACAAAATCTTTGGAAAAAATGCTTATTACTCGTCCCGTTCACATAAGTTTTTCATAATTTTTCATACTTTGTTTCCACTAGCCTCTCTCAGTTCGCCTACAAAATCTGGTGTCATACCGTGACGCGTACATTGAGAACTAGTCATGTATGCCGTTACAAATAGCTCGTTTGAGCGACGTCGCGCGTGCGGCAATTAGCGACGGCGCGGTTTGACGCGCGCGAACTCCAGTCTTCGCATGTTGAGGCACATAACATGTTAAAATAAGCAAAGAACGTGCACTACCAATTTTTTTTCCGGGGCTCCGCCCCGGACCCCGCAAAAACGATTTCCCCTTTGCTTTTTTGCCGAAAACGATTTCCAGCTTGTCATTTGACAAGCTTGTGCCGGGCCCTGATGAGAGCTTTGTATCAAAACCTGTTATTCGCGATTTACGCCGTGATAAATGTTCACAAAAGCCTTAATATAGAAAACAACAAGACAATGTGACGGGGTAGACATACAATATCATAGTATGTCTACCCCGTCACCATGAATTCATCAAGCTGAGGCCGTATCTTCTTGCAGATTTCATATAAAATTGTTTTTAAAAAAGTTATAGCTAAATCCCGCTTGTCTCGCAAATTTCGCGAAACCGCAAATCCCGTGAAGTCGCGAGAATCCCGCATTTTTGGACAAATTCTACCGCTGCAACTGTATTAGAACGCCAAAAACGTTACACTAAAAAGGAAACTCCGTTTATGTTTTTGCGAAATTTGGTGTTGATCAAACTTTTTTCACAATTATGACTGTTGAGAGATGTGGAAAAATCAACCTCGCTACAAAAACCGCAAGTCTTCCCCAGAAACTCGGTTGCACAACCTTTTTTGATTGGGAAGGAAGGGCTGTAAAATCTTTGCTATAACTTTTTCGTTGCTTTTGTTTTAATGAGCCTGTTTAGGCTGTTCATGCTGATCCGTAAGTTTCGGAAACAATTCCAGCACAGCGCTGAAACTAAGCGCTGTGATGAAACTGTTCCGGAATTACAGTTCAGTATAAACCCAGCCTTAGGTGCCAGAATTCAAATAATCTCCTTCTTGCATTCTCTTATGCCTATGTTCAAAAAAAGGGTCAAGCACAGGGCTCGGCACGAGCTGGCACCAGGAAATTTTCAAAACGAAGTCCCCCTTGATTTTTGCTAATTTTGACGAAGTCCCCTTTGACCTCAGACCAAGATCCCTAAAAATCCTCCAGAAAACGAAAGTCGACTAAAAAAACAAACACGTCGCAATTTGTCGACAAAAACGATATTCCTTTTGTTTTTTGTCCCAAAAACAATATCCAGCATACCCCGTGCCAGCTGATGCCAGGCCCTGGTCAAGCATACTTCACGCGCTTTCAATCGCGGCGCGATTTGGCAACTTAAAACTTTTTATAACTCATTATAAACATATTTTGAGTGTCCATAAAATAGGAGATTTTATCAAACCACGTAAGTCATACATACTATGCATGTGCAGTTTGCTAGTGTTGGAGATGAAGGCTTTTGGCAAATTGCCAAACAGCGTCGTGTCTGAACTTGCGTGTAGTATGCGCGGCTCTTATGCCTCATGAAAAAATGTTGTCAAACATCTGTACAAAAAACGTGAGGCTCCTTCCGAACTTTGGCAAGAGGAATGTTGAAGACAACTCAGTATTTATTGCTTTAGTTGGAAAAAGGGTAAAGTTTATGTTAAGTGTTGGACGCAGGCGGTCGCTAAAATCGGTCAAGCGAAGACGAACGCGGTGCGTACGTAGTTGCCATCAGAATGTTGCGTTCTATGCGATCGCCGACAACTAGGTATGTTTGGGTTTCCTTTTCTAGAAAACTCACTGTTTTAACTCTGCTATAATCTGTTATAACAGCCAGTCATTACGAAAAAGTTACCGCAGATATTTTTGAAGGCGATCTAGGAACTTATTCTTCGCTGCTATCATGAATGACGTATAAGTATAATAAAATTTTTTGGAGGCACCAGATTGTTGAAGCATCTTGAAAAGCCTTGTCTTGACATGTTTTTCTTACAATTAGACGTTTGATCTGTATAGTTTACCTACGGGCAAAAGTAAAGCAGATCAAATATCTATTTGGCTCTCGCATTCTCTTTCACTAACCACATGCTTTTCGTGTTCGTCCACTGCGAAAATTCGAACCACGAGCGGTGCAGACCATTATAACTTGTAATAAAGCGAAGCGTCTGTCTTTTAGTGCGTGTGTATGTGTCTGTATGTATGTCTGTCTGCCACGAAATCTATAAAGGAAGCTGCAGCCAGGCTATCGAGCTACAGTTTTGCATAACATACCGTACAACCATGTAGGCCCATCATGCACAAGGGCGAGCCGGTTCGATAAGCGGATCCTTCATAATTTGCGCGTCAAACGGATCCACGCGGCTTTTGGCGCGCAAATCTAGGTCACAGATTTAACTTTTTGCAAAGTCATGATTTGCATGAAAAATAAATCTGCGCTCAGCTCAAAAAGTCCTCAAAAAATTTGCTTTTCTGCGAAAACAGCGCAAAATAGTAGTGATCGCGGAGGAACTCGATTTAGCAAGGTTCCACTTATAAAACTGAAAAACTTTTACACGAAAATGTTATCCAAAATGGCTACTATCTTTATAACGATTATTGAGCTGAAATAACTTCAATAATCTATTCATATTCGCATTTGTTCCTCGGCAGAAAAGCATTCTTTCTCAAAATTATCGATTTTACGTGGAAATGCTATTTAAATTGAACAGTTGCTTACAATTTATTTGTGATGTTCTGCCTCGCGCGGTGAGTTTCAAAGTCATCATTATGGGAGCACGAGAAAGGTGTGCGGATAGCAGAGCCAGTGCGAACCTTAGCGGAGCGGAGGTGACGCACTGGTTCTCAATAGAATGCTAACTATCCCTTTTAAAACCTTTGTCAAATGAAATTGGTAGTCTTGAGCGACAGAGATATTTAACTTACTTCTAACTCAACTCCTTGATAATAATAGTATTAGTATCAATAACTGATAGTACTAACGATTTACTAATAGTATTAACGATCGATACAGATTGTCCATGCACCTATTTAGCCGCCGGGTCACCCGATTTACTAATAGTATTAACGATCGATACAGATTGTCCATGCACCTATTTAGCCGCCGGGTCACCCTCTTGGCCCCTGATACTGCATTCGGGGCTCCTTCGTTCATGTAAGCGATCTTCACGTTGTAGTGATAACATTGTTTGCCAGAAGTTGATCTTTAGGCTATACACGCCCAACTAAGCTGTAAAGAGCCTGGACACCAAGTTCTGGACCACTATCGCCGGTTGTGCCCCGTTGCCGTTCGTCATATTTTCTACAAGAAATCGCTGTCCAATGGTCTCTACCAAATTGGTGCATCGGCCAACGGATCGTCTCTTGGTGCTGCTCACCGAATTTCGATAAAAGTCCCTCGTGGCAGGCTACTAGCAGCCGATATCCGACTCTCGCGATTGTTGGTCCACCACTTTCACTAACTCGGGTCTTGCTAAGCTATCAGGTCGTATACATAACTGCAGAGGTTTTCTAACTAACTGACTGTCCACCACAGTTAGCTTAGAAAATTGGGATTGCACATCTGCCTCTTTGTGGCGCCGTTTCCAACGAAAACGGATTTTGTTACTTTTCTTTTGCTCAGCACCAAAATCATCTTGCAATCAAAGAATTAACATTTTCATAGAAATTACAAATTATCAATGATGTAATAGTTGCTACAAAGACAGTGTTATTTTGCTAGCTACATTTC